GCAACATCAAGAATGAGTTGAACATCTCGTGTGATGTCTCCGAGACTGCACATGAATTTATTCGTGGTATCCGTCTACATGCCTCCAAACTCTTGAAGGGTCTCCAAACCGACGACCTCCGCAAGGCCCAGCTTGGCCTGGGTCACTCTTACTCTCGCGCGAAGCTAAAGTTCAACGTGAACCGTATCGACAACATGATTATCCAAGCCATTGCCCTCCTCGATCAGCTCGACAAGGACGTCAACCTTTTCGCCATGCGCATGAGAGAATGGTACGGCTACCACTTCCCCGAGCTCGTCCGCCTTGTTCCCGACAACCATCAGTACGCTCGCGTCGCGCGGTTCATCGGCGACAAGGACACTCTTGATGAGGAGAAACTCCCCGACCTCGCTGCCATCGTCGACGACGACTCCACGCTCGCTCAAAACATCCTCGACGCCGCTCGCGGCTCCATGGGCTCTTCACTGTCCGAGATCGACCTCCTTAACATCAACGCATTCGCTGAGCGGGTGGTGTCAATTTCCGATTACCGCAAGTCCCTCATCTCGTATTTATCGGAGAAGATGAACCTCGTCGCGCCCAGTCTGACGGCACTCCTCGGAGAGCGGATCGGTGCCCGGCTTATCAGCCACGCAGGCAGCTTGACGAATCTCAGCAAGTACCCTGCATCCACCGTGCAGATCCTGGGGGCGGAGAAGGCTCTCTTCAGGGCGCTCAAGACGAAGGGCAACACGCCGAAGGTATTTCCCCCTCGCATCCAGGTTCAGCCAAAGCTGACGTCCTCAATCTAGTACGGTCTTCTCTATCACTCAACATTCATTGGTCGTGCAGGACCGAAACACAAGGGTCGCATCTCCCGCTTCCTCGCCAACAAGTGCTCAATAGCATCACGGATAGATTGTTACTCCGGTCCGTATTTTTTCTATTTTACTCTCGCCTTTACCTCAACCCGACCTTGTTCAGACAACCCCACTCCAAAATTCGGCGAGGCTCTGCGTGCGCAGGTGGAAGAGCGTCTTGACTTCTTCGAGACAGGGAAGGCGCCCGCCAAGAACGCGGATGCCATCCGGAAGGTGTTGGAGCAGCTTGGAATGGACGATGATGATGAGGACGAGGATGTGGACATGGATGGTCCTCCGCTGACCACCCTCGAGGCGACGCCGAAGAAGGAGAAGAAAAAGAAGAGAAAGAGCGACGAGATGGACGTCGACGATGATGAGGAGACTTCGCCGAAGAAGATCAAGCTGTCGAAAGAGGAGAAGAAGGCGCTGAAGAAGGCCAAGAAGGAGGCGGCAGCAGACGTGAGTTTCAACATTCGTCGTGAGGATGGGCCTGGCATGCTAACCCTTGCTCTTTTTGCTTACAGGGCGAGGAGGGCTCGAAGAAGAAAAAAGAAAAGAAAGAAAAGAAGGAGAAGAAGGAGAAGAAGGTCAAGGCGTGATCTATCTCTTCTCCCCTCTGTCGCTCTCTTTCTTGTATCTTATCTTGCACTGTTTATCTCATTTTTGGTATCTTCGCTCTCACTGGCGCTTGATGGAGATGAGCACCCGAACGACAACCTGTCATCGCCCTTTTTCCTCGCGATCGCACCTTCGTTTCAACCAGGTACGTTTCGCGGGGAAGTAACCAATCGCGCCTCATTGTGAACTGCAACGGCATTCGTCAACGGGACCCCCAGCCAGCGCTGATCGAGTGTTTATTGACATCGGCACACGAGTTCTTATCTATATGCTCTTGGTCATACTTCGCCACTTACAGTATTTGGGCCCAAAATCGCTAGCGCATCCGGGTTTAGCTGGATTTTTTCTGCCACCTAGAATCTTTTGCACGGGTCGCGAGAACGGTGAGCGGCCAACTAGCCAGCACTATCCTCGGGCTCCCATGCAGCAACTGTCCGAGAAGTTGGGCCGCATTTTCCTGAAGGCATTATATGTTTGGGGTGACTGTTACAAGTACTAGTAGGGAAGGGATCTCGAAGTGATCGCCGAAAAGATGATCGATGGAGGGGAACATGGGACCAGACTTCCTCACACGTTGTGCATATTCAGTTCACCGATGCCAGCCGAATGATACCATTATCGCGGGGTAAGACAAAAGCCTTACGGTAGGAGAGCAGAGCATGATACCTCGACCTGGTATGCTTGTTTAGTGGTTCGCTGCCTTATCAACAGGGATATCACATAATTTACATTCACCACGCAGCCTTGATGAGGTCCGAAGCTCGCTCCGCAACAACATATGTTGCAGCCTGTGTATGTGCGGCAGGAACCAGCGGCTAGATAAAAACCGAAGAATGAATACTCGGGCCGTTGGAGGACAGCCACATTGGCACATGAGCAAAAGACACTCACGATGACGGACGAATCGACGACACGGAGGCCCAGAACCTTCTTCACGCGCAGGTCTGGGTCGACGACGCCATAGTCTGCGCCTTTCGGGGACATTGACGCTGTGCCCACGGTGTGCGAGACGGTGATTGCGGTTCCGCGGATGAACTGGTCGAGCTCAGAGTCGGTGACGGCTGTGTCTTCGAGGCGGAGGACATAGTCTGAAAATGCCGGTGCCTTGGCGAAACGGCGCGCGGAACGAATGGCTTCGCGCATGACGAACAGATCAAATGTGGAATCCATGAGGTTTGGGTCCACACTGGGCCGATCGAATGGGTTGTTCGAATTTATCAGCACGGTTCCGCCTTAATTGTTGAAAGTTAGTTGATAAGATAGAGGGTAAGAAAGAATTTGTGGACGTACGTGAGAGGGGTGTCAAAACAACGGTACCGATCACCATGAAGTTTCCAGTAGGGGGAAGAGGAAGGCGCGTCTTGCCGTTCTATACCATATAATTATAACTAAGCAGACTCCCTAAAGGGAATTCGGACAGCAAGAAAAACTCACCGCGATGATGAATTCATAATGCGCAGTGCGTGATCCAGCGGAAGGATCCTTGAATTGTTGAAAGATCGGCGAACTCTTGGGAACACGCAGCCAACCCGCCAGGTTGAAGGTGCTAGCTGCATACGGTCCAGTGCGCGTCTCGTTCCACTGCTTTACCTGCTGTTCTGCGAGGCTTTCATTACGCAGAGGAGTCTCGAAAGTGTCCGTTGAATTTACGAGCCAAGTGTTTGCAACAAACGGGTGGTCTGTAAGATTCTGCCCGACAGAGGGAAGGTGTACAAGGGGTTTGACGCCGACCTTTGTGAGAAGTTTTGAGTCCCCGATCCCGGAATGTTGGAGAATGTGTGGGGTGCCGATCGCTCCGCCAGAGAGTATCACTTCCTTCTTCGCCGCGATGGTTTTGCGGGGGCCTATGATCAAATTTTCCAGTCAGCGATAAAGGCATTGAGTAGCGGGCGCTTTCTTACCAGACAGCGCCCCGTCATCTACGAACTCGACACGTTTGAAAACCGGCAGCCCAAGTGTCGTTCCGGTCTGCAGGACACGAGTGACCCGGGCATGTATCAAGACGTGCAAGTTCTTTCGTTTCGCGAATTGTGGAGCGAGATAGGACGTCGCCGAGCTGCTCCTTTCTCCATTGTTGATCGTAGACTGAGTCCAACCTGTATAGAACGGAGGGTCAGGGAAACAGTCAACTGTGATATCCGTAGCTGCCAACCAATTCCGATTTGGCTGCCAGAGTTCATATCCACGTTGAAGGGAAATTCCGGAAGTTCCGAGGTCGCCTTGATGACGCGGTGGTCGAAGGAGTATAAGAAGCCAGGAAGGCTGACGGCATTGATTCCATTGAACCCGTGGTGGGCTGGGTCGAACTGCCCACTCGTGTTATGATGGTCAGCTGGCTCAGTCCATTTTTCGTTCTAATTTGATGTCAGTATCAGGATTGCCTCTGCTCTTGAGGCACAAGTAACTCACCTTGCGAAGGTATGGCTGGATGTTGTTCCATGACCAACCATCGTCCTTCGTCAACCTCGCATACTCGTCGTAATTGTCTCCGGAGCCACGGGTATACGCAAGACCGTCTAACCAAACGCGTGTTAGGATCTCCGACACCGAGGCATTTGGAGACGAAAACGCACTCATGGAGCTAGTCCCGCCCAGAACATGTCCTTGAGGATAATCCATAGACCGCCCACCTAGTCCCGACATGGCCGTAGTGGTGTAGTTCCAGTCTGCCGGCGACCTGAACAGGCGGCTGTTGAAGAAAGGCACCTGAGAGTTATACAGGTTCAAGTTCCTGGATAGAGAGCTGCTTCAATTGCCAGTACATTATCGATGTTGCTAGGCATGCTCACGAGCCACCGGCCTCGATAACCAAAACAGAGTAGTTGGGGTTCTCTGTGAGGCGGTTGGCCACCACAAGACCCGCCGTACCACCTGGATATCT